CACTGAGAAAAAAATATAATCAATTTTAATAAATATTTAGTTCAATACACTACCAGCTCAACATTTACTTACAGTAAATAAATATTTGTTCAATAAAAAAAAAAGATTGTTAAATTAAATTAACATTTCTTATATCAAATAAATATATCTATATATTTAATAAATATTTAGTTGGCAGTATTCAACTAAATATTTATTAACTTTTTTTTTTTCAGTATATGAAACGCTGCTTGATAAAACTATACGAAATACATATCGTATGTTATCGAAACAAAGTGTTGATAGTAAAGTTTTGCTTAATACTTTGTCTAACGATTATAAAAACAAAAATATTCGCGTTCGATCATTGACTGGAAAAGATCTAATAGCGAATTCGGTTGGACGCGTGTATATAAAACCGTCGTACACTGATTTAATCTGTAAATGTAAAATGTATTTCGGATTATAAAATGCAGCAAAAATTGCTTAACAGTACAATAAAATGTATTGAGAATTTCATGGTTTAATCCGTTTCTATAGAAAACACATACATCCGTTTACATTAAATACATATTTTTACGTACACAATTTGTGTACGATGGCTTTAATATGCATCAGTGCTCATTGACAAGGAAAGTTAGATATCCAACTAGTTTTGAAAAGTAACGGTTAGAAGTTATAGTATCCTCTTATTAACTAAAATAAGTGTCATTCGCCCAAAAAATTTAATATTCATTAGAAAAATGGTTTCAAAGTCCGCTACATTTAAATGACATTTTTTCGTAACTTTTTTTACTTTTTGAATTTTTCTACACACACACACACGTGTGTGTGTGTGTGTGTGTGTGTGTGTGTGTGTGTGTGTGTGTGTGTGTGTACATAAGTGGAATAGAAAAGAACACTTAAGTCTCAATTCCAATGGATGTTGAACATTTTTTTATCCATCTCTTCCGAAGTTCGAATTGCGTTTGAATGTAGTATACATTTATAAAGTTGTACATTTGTAAATGTATGTACGTATAAAAGTACATATATTTTTTTATTACACATTACCATTATGTACATACACAAAATTAAAGATTAAAATTTTATAATTACATTATGTAGATTAAACAGTATTACGAATTAAAATAACAAGAATATAATAAAAATATATAATAAATAGAATCCGACCAAAACTTTTGCCGAAACTGAACCGAAACATTCGGTTACACGTCAATTTCAAACGAAACCGAAATCAAAATTAAAAAAATAGGAATCCTATAAAGGCCATATGTTATATAGACATGCCTATATACTTTTTCTTCATAAATATCATAATTTATTGAAACAATAATTAAATTTCGGCTGAAATTGAAAATCGAAATTTCGGTTGTGTGTCAATTTTAGCCGAAGAATACAAGTACTTCTTCTTCATAAATATAATTTAATTATTGAAACAATAATTACACATATTAAAATTAATATTTATGAAGAAGAGACTATGTGGTTTTAATCGAAACTGACACGTAATAAGTTCGTTTTCAGTTTCGGTAAAAGTTACTCTAATAATAAGTAAGAAAATATATGTACATATATACTTATATACATTCATACACATATACAACTTTATAAGTGTATCATATCCAAACGCAATTCGAACTTCGAGAGAAATAGGTAAAGAAATGTTCATCATCAAGACCTAAGTTTTCCTTTCTATTCCACTTATATTACTCACATATATATGTAGAAAAACCCAAAAAGTCAAAAAAGTTCCAAAAAAATGTCATTTAAAGCCATTTTTGGAGCCACTTATAGCGGACTTTAAAATCCGTATTCATAAATTCATAGATTATTTTTTCAAAACTAATTGGACATCTGAGTAACTTCCGTTCACCCTTGTGAGGGCATCCAGAGATACAAATTCTCTTCAATTGAAAGATAATTGAAGGTACGTAAGGGATGTAATAGCGACATATTACGCGAATATCTGTGATTGCAAGCTTTAATTTTCAAAGTAACTTTAGCTCGTGGTCAGGAGCTCTATTCTTGTGCACATATAAATAATTTTCGCATACAAAAATGACAGTTTCTCGATTAGTCGATTGTACATACGGAGTTGCTATTTTCGTATGCGATATTTGTTCAAGAATAGGGCCTATGATCTCGCTTGGATAAAAAGTGCTCCTGATATGTTTGAATATTTAAGGGCAACCCTTGTCAAATTTTCCCAATGAAATTATTTTATCAAAATTAATCGCGCCACTGTATGCGGCGGCTGATTCCATGGCGAATCAAGCTCGAGGATAATTCAGGATACGACCTTGACATTATGGAGACGCATGTGGGGTGGAATTAGCGTTGCAACCTTTCACGCGGTTGACGTCGCGTACTGCTGTGCCAAGAGTAATTACTTCCGCAGATTAAATTTGGCGAATCACGTTTCGCATTTCGAATGCGATATAATGTGCACCACGTGTAATCGTTGGCGTGTCACGACAGAGGAAATAGTGGCGGCGGGAAGGGAACGCTTGTACATACAAGCGTTCGGTTTAACGAATAAAAATCGATAAACTAAACATAAGTTTTCCGCGTACCGGTAAAATATATATTTAGAAACTGAAGCGCGCGGCGCGTGGAAAAACTCGAGTTACGGGTTTCTTATGCGTTAATCTTGATGTGACCTAACGTACAGGCCACATTCAGGCCGTGACGCGCGGCTTTTCAAAATGAAGGAGCTTGCCTCGTCTCTCCGAGGGCTCGACGAAAAGCAATTTCGATGTTCCCGATGATCGCCGTACCGTACAAAACTGGTCACGGAGCATCCCACATCGCGTGAGCCGCTAAGCGCCGAGGCTATATGAAGGCATTTCCGAGAATATCGATCAAATAAGTTATTAGATCATGCGCCCGTCCACTCGCCTTAATATTCCATCCGTTGCGTTCTATATATTATAGTTTCGTGTGGTACGCAAAGATCTCTCGCTCGCGTTGACGTGATAGCAACAATGTGGAACAAACGATAAGTGCTTACCAGGTGCGACGCGGAGGTCGCACTTGAGAAAGAGGTGACATCGAAAGTTAAGTCGCGAGAATTGACGTTACTTTTCGCGTCAATCAAAAGATGAATAACAACAGGTTACTCTTCCATATATATATATATATATATATATGAGACGCAGTTTCATTAATTATAGCTCATCCTGTGATATATCCCACGATTCAGAACTTGATCCCTCCGTGTTTACTAGGAACAGAGAGTTAACGAAGCGTGATCGTGTGAATCCATGCATGGATCTATCGTTCCGCACGTTTAGTAAATTACCGATACGTCTATCTGTCGCTAAGATAAAATTCGGGGGCGCTGCAAAGAGAAAAGTCTCAGGTGCGCACTTGTGAGGAACTTGTTGCGGAAACTTGGTCCGCCTTGGTGCTACAAATTGCTGGCGCTAACGTCTCCTCACCGTGAAATCCTCCGTGAAATTATCGCCACGTGTTTTCCTCTCCCGACGCTGGACTTAACTGGTGGTTAACGCTAATTAACGTCACGTGACACCGGACGCGCTCATCCGCGACATACCTTTTTTCAAGGAGGCTCCTCGCTTCGTGTGCCGACCCATGAAGCTGGAAAGTAGCTGCATGCTTTTTTTCTCTCCGACACTTTCAACACCCCTCAGACTGGCCGCGGCAATCCCGATAAAGCTATCGATCGCGCTCACCGGGTCCCGGAAATACGCACCGCTAAACAGCCGCAGTGAAGCTGTCGTTACTTATCGGAGCCTCTCACCATCTTTCTCATATCACCGCTCCCGAAACATCGCCGGCTGCTACGAGTGCTCGTGTTCACCGTTCACGGCTTTCCCGTTGCATGCCGATAAGCATCTCGTTCCACCGGTTTGTATACGCGAAAAAGTCAAGCGAAGAAAATCTTCGCATTCGCGATTAATAAACAAGCATCCTCTTTGAGAGCGACTCAAAGAGAAAAGAGATCCGTACACAATACTCCCAACGCAACACGATGTGTTTATAAAAATTAAAATATTTTCTTCTACAAACTGACTTTTTTCTTATTTTACGAAATAAATACACATGTTTTTTTCTCTTTCAAAAGGCGAAAATGAATTAATAATATTAATTTTCTTCTTTTCTTTAATCACGCTAATGTCGATTCTTGATATGTCAAGTCTCGCGACATAAATTTACCTCGAGCTGTGCAACGAAACTGTCAAAATTTGTTCGACTCGAAATCTGGAAGTGCGGAATTATTAAAATAGGTTGGTAGAAAAAATTCATTCGTTAATCTAAGTCGCGTGCCAAGTTTCTACGAAACTTTTGCCTGTGCTCGAAACAAACAAAAATATCGAACAGGCTCGATCTATGAGTAGTAAATTTCATCATCGATTCTGTCTGAGAATTAATGTTCAATTAATGCTGACGGTATTACAGTGAAGCTCAAAACGAATATTAATTAATAATTAACGACTAAATTATTTCAACCGCGCGTCACGTTAACTAATTAAGCGAGCGGCGTTCACTTTGCAGAATCTAAAATGTCGTTAACCGAACGCTACGATTAATCACGCTGTTAATTGTAAGTCGAACGATCTCGTGACGTTGTTCGTTGTGGGACAACTTTTCGGGAAGATCCGCCAAAGTTCCACGAGCGCGCATCCCGCGAAAGCTCGCGGCGATCGCGAAAGCTCGCGCTGCGCGGAAGCACTGAGGAAACACTTCGGAGTTCGGTCTTTCTCCTCCCGGTAAATCGCCACTGAACCACGTTCCCTCTCGAAGGGATTGAGAAAGTCTCGCGCCTGCGCCACCCTCCGACCACCGTCAGAAGGTATCCTGAAATCTCATCCCTGCAATTAATTGACCAACTCCGTCGTGAATGATACGGCACGTTCTCGCACGCTCGGTAAAGCAAAACATTCATTATCATTATGCGTCTTTCTCTCGTCAATCGTATGGAATATTAACATGCTAACGCGCGTTAATATTAATTTGGAATGTCGTTTGTGTAAATGACAGAACTTTAAACGCTGTTACTATATTGTATATAGGTACTCGCGTAATACATTAATAAATTAATATTAATTAACCAATAATAAATTAATAGCAGTAAAGTAATAAATTAATTATTAATATCGTTATTCTGGATATTACGAGAACGCAGAATTAGGAAGTATGTCGTTACTTATAACAAAGTTACCAGTTACTGTAAGTTGAAGTTAACTTCGCTCATTCCTTCCATCCATAACTGTAACTTATTTAGTTACATTTTAGATGTATTAAATGCGTATTTCGAATTTACATACAAAAATATTATTAGACTAATTGTAAATTCAACAATAAGAAATAGAAGTAATGACCGTGATGGCCAAAGTTAGATCTTTAATGCTTAAATAATTCAATCTTGAATTATTATATATACCATATATATATATATATATACTTGCATATATCATATTTGTAGTCATTCAATTGTATCTCTGACTGTCGATACCGCAAAACCTTTACGTCGCGAGAAAACGCTTACATCAAATGTGACAATCTGATGAGCGATGTGATTCTATTATACTTAGTGACGCAATGTATATGACTTCGGTTTTATTTTATCTAATTTAACTTTGGAAAGAAGAACGAACTAAATTGTCGGGAATCATCAACTTGGAATTTGCGTTATTTATGTAATTTCAGCTGATGTAGCTGCTCTAATGGGCTTTTTTACATTTTTCACTGATAGTCATACAAATTGCGCGCCGAATTATTTTTCCAGACTATAAACTACTGTAGTAATATCGCGAATTAAATTGATAAGCAATTTTAATAATTTAATGCTCAATCAGGCATCATATTATAAAGATGTTAATATGTTGGAAAACTGTAAATAAATTTATTACGAAAAATATTACCTCGGAAGTTGAATCTTTTGTATAGAATCGTCTTTCTTTTCAAGCAACGTAATATAAACATTAAGAATTTTATTGGACCGTACATTTGAAAATTTAACAATAAAAAATAAAAGTAATAACGGTCAAAGATAGATCTGTAATGCTTAAATAATTCAATCTTGATAATATATACTAATATATTATATTATATATTCTACTAATAATTCTACTAATTGTAAGAGCTTCGACTGTATTGACTCTTTCCTTACTTTGATTTATTCATATATATACGTAAGCGATCTAAATTATCTTATTATTGAATATTTATAATAATAAAGTAAATATATTGGTCAAGAGTTTTTGTAATAATAAAAAATGAAAGAAACAATTGTTGGATCCATTTCATGAGCAATCAATGGGATGTGGTTCTTAATTATAGTCAACTAACGATGTAACGTGCACGCATCGCGCCTGGCATTATGGTGCAATGCATATCTCTCTTGCGGTTAATAACGACGGTAAGTAATTTGAGTAATGGGTCGATGATTACGACAGCATTAAAGATCGGACAGTTAATATCCGCGTACAGCGACCGTTACTGTACCGTTAACTTAACATACAAAATCGCCGCTTTGCAGCTGTGTAAGCGTGCGCGTATTGTACATGTCACTATTAATTCCAGTCGTTAAATTCCTCTGAAAGAGGCGCGGGGAGGAGGAAAAGATATGACAGATCGCCGTTACGGATATCAGATTATATCTCTAATAATGAACCGCAGATTCATCGATCATTCATGAAATTCTTCCCGTGGAGATGCAAAGGAGTCAATTCCTACAATCCCGCTGGATTATCTTCAGTAACGCCTAGGTGAGGTTGACTCTTAAATCGGCATTCACTCCACGAGTTCTCCGGAGAACGAAAACACGACCTGTGCGCGGGGCCGGCGACCGGCGTTGGAAAGTGCAGTGACTCGGAATGCAGGCAATGCAGTTAGCTTCGACCCGGGTCGGAATTACGTGCATGCGTTCTCGGTGTGTTACGTTTCCGTCGCTAAGAAATTATCGTGCTGTTGAATCGATCGGATCTGCTGCATTCGGCTCGAGCTCGAATGATGCTTATTTACGATCGCACGACAATTTCGCCGACTATGCAGCGCGATGCACCGTTGCTTAACGGCACCGTGAGTGCAAAATTTTCAATCTCCACAAATGCTCGCTCCGTACGGCATCGACTTTCAACGAGCCTCGGTGCGTCGATCGTTTCTCATTCCGCGAAGATGCATAAGAAGGATCTCATAAGAAAATGTCGTCGTTCGAAATTGGAACGAGAAGAGGAAAAAGCCGCACTCCTGCAGCCCCGGAATCGTAATGACATCGTCATGATTTCAAGTGAACTTATAAGCGACAATTAAAAAGTCAGGATAACATTCTTATGATATTATTATAACTCCTGCGTTTTTTTACCCGAAATTCGAGAGGTCTATCGTTTTTAATTTATAATTTACCTACAGAACAAACGGTTTTGCCGAAGCATTGAAAAATTCAGCTAAATACACAAATCTGAAAATAATTTTACAGATTTGAAAATAATTTTGTTAAACTATCAAAGTATACATTATAATTACGTAGGACACACTAAAATTGATTGCTAGAATGTCAAAATATTCCTGCAAAATCACACGTTTTGTAGAATTACCTACTCATGTTTGAGCGTCCTACATAATTATTTTTGATAGTCTAACAAAAAGTATTTTTAGATCTGTATCCGGCTAAATTTTGAAATACTTTCGAAAAATTGTTCTTTTCGTGGAAGAAAAAATGCGGGGATACCAGGTACGTTCTAGATATAAATTGCTTTCTTAATTGTGCGCGTCGTACGAAATTCAGCGTGTTCCCTTGGCCGGATTTCTCGCTTTTACTCGAGCGATGCAAAAGGTAAATGGATATGGAACGGAACGACGGCAGGCGGTAGATTCGCTCGTCGTTGTCGCTGCTGTCCCGTCATCGTTTCGCTACCTTTTCTCTCGGTTTTATTTACTCCTCGAGACAACATCTGTCTTATATCTCGGCCTGCACCGCCGCGTTACGCTGCTACAGGCCGTACATAACGCCGTCCGACGACGCCGACTTTATGGTGCAAGGTGCATTGCCAGAGAGAGAGAGAAAGATGGAAAGAGAGAAATAGAGAAATAAAGAAAGAGAAGAAGAGAAAGAGAAAGAGCTTCGGAGAATCATCCGGAGAAAAAGGACTTGGACTGAGGCGACCGGAAAATACCGGGTGTCCAAGGCGGCTGCGTCTTGCTATCCGACTATCCAAAAGCGTAAAGAAATTCCAGAATGAGAAACTGAAATGGCTATGTAATGTGTGTGTGTGTGTGTGTGTGTGTGTGTGTGTAGGATTTGTAATTTTGTATTTGAATATTGCGCAATTTGAAAAATCAGATAATACGAAAAGAACAGTTTTGCTAAAAACTGAAAAATTTTAGTTAAATATTGATCTGAAAATAATTTTGTTGAATTATATCAAAGTAGTTATATAGGACACTTGATTTTAGTTGCTATAATAGTAAAACTTTTTGCAGCGCTGCTCATCATTGAGTTTTTCACATATATTATTTTAATGATTCAACGAAATTATTTCCAAGTCTGTATCTATATGTATACATTTCTAAATTTTTAGATATTTCAGAAAAATCGTTTTTTCCGTATCAGACTTCAAAAATATATTGTCCTAGGAACTACATATGATAGATGGTCATATATAAAAATATATAAACACCAGGCTAGACGGAAAATACATGACAGTAATTAAAATGACATCCTCTTCGTGGCATTCTAACATAACATTCTCTACGGCGAGAAACATATGAGATAACATACGAAGGAGATCCGTAGAAAAAAAAGGGATGTCGTAATTAATTCTCGATCTTTTAACAGCCTCTCCATAATAATTATCGTATACAGGCAATTCCTAAATCAACTACCTGCGGACAACAAGATCCATTTGAAGGCGG